AAGAGTGTGAAAGCCTAAACTGCAGTAATTCAGCAGTTGTTTAATTCAGGTGTAAACTGCCCTATCTTTAGCTCTTGCTACCACAGAATAGAGGGGATGGGTGAGATACCCTATCTGCATAAGTCTCCCTGTCCCCTCAACTTGGTACAATTTGTTCATCTATCCACTTTATGCATATATTGTGGGATGCTGTAGTTCTGGACAAGAAAATGCCTTTGTAAGCATTTATACTGTACTGAATTCAGGTTTGTTTGTTTGTTTTTTTTTAATTAAAACAGTATGTCAGACCATGCTGCCCCTCAGCCACAACTTGAGGATTCTTTAGGTACGCTAAGTAGGACAAGAGGTGATGAGGTGAGATTTTTTTTTTTTTTTTTTTTTTTTTTAAGAGCAATTACATGTACTTATTCTTTGGCTCAAGCTTTGAATTGGAGTATATGATGTTCTCTTAATAGTATTATATCTTTTTGAGCAATGGTATTTGGAACATGCTTGAAAATCAGCTGCAAACTTTTACATGAAAAATGCTGAGAAAGTTAAGGCTAAGTGGGGTAATTCTAGACAGAATTTTTCAGGCTCCCTTCATGCTTACCACAGAGAACTGATTCCCAAGAATGCAGCTTGCTATTCAAGTCTTTGGGGAGCTGGGTCAGGACAATAACAATGTTATTTATGAAATCCACTCGTTGCCTTCATAAAGCAGTATGTGTAGTACATGCAGTGAAATTAGGCAGAAAATTAGCTGTCTATCATATAACTTTAAGACAATAGGATTCACAAATACCAAAGGTGCACCAAGGGTTTAGGTTGTAGCCGTGTTGGTCTAAGGACATAGGCAGACAAGGTTCCTTGGATGAATTTGATATCTTTTATTAGACCAACCCAAATGGTTGGAGAATAGTTATTAAGCAAGCTTTCGGGTTCAAAAACCCTTTGTCAGGCTAAGGAAGTTTCACTAGTTGGTGTGCGCTCTTCCTGGATGGAATGAAAAGTAAAGAAGCCAGGGGCTGGGTTGGGGAGTCAGTTGCCAGGCAGATTATAATGTATCAAAAATCCAATGTCTCCATTTAGTCCCTGATCTCTAGTATCCAGGAGGTTGATGAAATGGAGCTCATAGGCTCATCTCTGGGAAGTGTTGTGCAAGTTTCCCTTGAGGATCAGGACTGAGAGATTGGAGAGAGAGTGGCCCTCCTGTGAGAAATGTGCCCCCACCGGTAATTGGGTATTTCTGTCTTTGATAGATTTCCGGTGTGCATTCATTCTGGTTCGCAGTTGTTGTTTGGTCTCTCCTACATATTTTCCATCAGGGCATTTGGTGCATTGTATGAGGTATATTACATTTCTGGAGGTGCAGCTGTAAGATCCGGGGATGCTGATGGCTCTGTTGTGGGGTGTAGTAATAGTGGGGGTGGTGGAGATGTGTTGGCAGGTTTTGCATTTCTTGTCATGGCACGGTCTGGATCCTTTTGGTGTGTTCTGGGCTTGAACGTCATAACCAGCGGTGTGCGATTTTTGTGGGGGGGGTTTCTTCTGTACTGCAGCAGTTTTTCACGTGGTATCCAGGTGGCTCTTTCAAACGTGCAATCTACCTCTCTGGACGAGTGTCCTTGCTGGGTGAAAGCCTTTTTAAAATTGGTGGGGTGGCAATCCTGGGTGTTCTCTTCAGTACAAATGTGGTGGTATCTGAGGACTTGGCTGTATATCACAGCTTTTTTGGTGTGTTTAGGGTGATTGCTGGTTCTGGTGCACCAATACATTGGTCCAATATCGAATCGGTACTGATATAAAGAAAATTTACTGTATCGGATATCGGCCCAATGTGGCCGATTAATTTGTCCGATAAATGCCCATGCTGCACACAGCCAAAGCTCAACACTCGGGCAGCCAGGAGCAGAGCCAGCAGTGTGGAGAGCTGTCTCCAGCTGGTAAGTTTGGTGTAGCGGAAGGGGTGGGGGGGGCAGATCAACACCCCCCGCGGTGAGGGAGGGGGCAGGGGCAGGCACTGCTCAGGT